ACTGAAATATCCATCCCGTGGCCAATGCTGTGACAAATTGCTCTGCTTCTTTCAGTTCTATGATTCACATTCAAAATTTACCCAAAAGGTGTTGGGGACAAAAACCACAACACACATTATAGAAGGCATGATTTGATGACCTCTATTTCTACCAATCTCATAGTGTTATTTATTCTCATTATAAACTGTTGGTTGAATTTAGGCAAATCGCCTCCAAGATTCTATTCAACCAAAGTCTGGACTCTGGAAGCTTGTGTTTGTGATTTAGAGAAGAAAAATTGTAAGGGGGAAAATTTTCCCAAGTTGGTAGAATTTTTTTTTTTTTTTGGTAATTAAGTTGGTAGAATTTAGTTAAATCACCCCCAAGATTTTATTCAACCAAAATCTGGAAGCTTGTGTTTGTGATTTAGAGAAGGAAAATTGAAAAAGAAGAATATCGGAAAAATGATTTCTGTTGACAAAACACTTATATTTAGAGAAGGAATATATACATTTATCAAATAATTAATTAATTAAATAAATCATCGAAAGTTCAATTTTAAACAACGATACGCAAACGTGCTAAAAGCGTTGTGCAATCGTATTTTTCATTCAATAAACATATTAACCACTCAACCAATAGGATAGAGTGGGAAGAGACTTATAAGTTATAAACACACTTTCTATTAACACTCCTTCCAATATGTTATTTCTCATTCTTGACTATTTCTAACAGAAGGAATTGCAACTATAACTAATTAATGAACTACTCTTAGGGGTCGTTTGGAAGTTGCGATTGTTAAATAGATGTATTGTTGAGAATGCATGTATAATATTATACATGTATTGTCGAATTTGATGCATTGTAGAATACAACATTTGGTATGTGTGATTGTATATGTCGCATCAGCTAAAAGCTGAGACAAAACAATCTCAACTCAACTATCTCAACAATCACAACTAAAAGTTGAGAGATAACAATCAATCAAAATGAGTGATAGTTTCTGTCACATCACAGAAACAATTCATGTATTGTTTCTGCTAAAAAACGATGCATTGTAAACAATCCATGCTTAATGACAATCTTAACAAAACTATCGTAACTTCCAAACCACCCCTTATATTCCACTACTACTAGCAAATAGTGATAGGAATGAGGTGGTTGCGGGACCGGTATACCTTGATATTCATACCGGCCCTACACAAAGTATGAGTCACTAATACGTGTCAGGACATATTGACCCATTATTACATTAAAAACACCAATTCTGACTTGCATTTGTCGAAAAAATAAGTTTTTCTCAATAAATTAATATATTCTTAAAATGCAGGCTGCAAACTAATGATGCCCTAGTATGGGTTATAACCATATGCTGTTTTTATGGTGATCACCTCTCCTCAATAACATAATTAGGGATATATGGTTCGATCCGGTTAAATCGGCCCAAATTGATTCGTTCATGGTTCATTTTTTTTTTTTTTATTATAAGGACCAAAAATTAGATTGGATATAGTTCGGTCTTGATGCGGTCCGGTCTTGAACCGGTCCGGTCCCAATTCAGTCTTGATTTTATATTGAGCTTGTGGAGATTTGAGTGTCCTGAGGGGGGGTTTGAGTGGCCTAAGACCTAAAAGGGTGAGAATGTTAAATTTTGAGTGTTGGGCTCACTTATCCAGTTTTCGGTCTGGTACCAAACGATTTTTTACCTCAAATCTAGGCCCGAAAATTGTATTGTATTGTTTACTATCCGATCCCGATCCGATCTTAGTCCGCGTTATACGGTCCAGTTTCGGGTAAAACCAAAAAGCCCTGACCAAATAGCCAGCCCTAGACATAATAACACTTATCTATTCGGCCCTTTTGCATTCTACTTCTTTCTGTAGCAATACCTTTTGCTTTCTCAAAGCCTTCATCTTTTCGTCTAATTACCTAGTAATAATCTAATGCTATAAACAAACTTATGTATCAGTCTTTTCTTCAATACAAAATATACAATATATATGCTCTTTATGGTGCCAAATGGATGGCAGTAAAGAAAGATATGCATATTGGGGAGTGAGTGGGAGCATATATATAAAATGGGATTCCCGGCCCATGCATGCAAAGCAAACACAAAATCGACAGCAATTAGCTACCTAATTAAGTCCCACCACCATATCCATGCAACTTAATCAGCCCATGCAAATGCAGAATTACAATGGGGGAACTGGCTGCCAATGCCATTAATTCTCTTTACTGTTTAGGGAAAGCCGTGTGGTACAGCTTTATGCTTTCTTCCTCCTTTTCCCCCATCCCTTTAAGAATATATTCGCCATGCTTGCATGCATGGTGAAGAAGTCAAGGCATATAAAAGAGTGGCCGAACGAACCAAAGGTGCGGATGACCTGCCGATTTGGGCAACTATGGACCAATTCCAAATGGCGGATTGGTCGGAATAATCATGCTGAGAAATGAATGTGTAAACGACACGACACGGCGTTGGCTTTTCGACAACATGTCGCAAGTCAACTCGAAAGAAGAAGAAGAAACGATGCTTGTTACGGAAACGCAGTAGATAACCGTCATCTTCCTGTCGGATACAACCTCCGATACGATTTTATAGTCCAAGGTTATTTGTTAAGGAAATCCATTTTGCCGTATAAGCACAAAATACTCTACTATTGAACCTTATTTAATGGTTGAATCATGTTTAAAACACTATTTAAGTACAAAATACTATACTATTGACTTGTCTAGTACAACTTCCGATACAATTTTATAATTTCTAAAAGAAATGTAAGAATTTTTCGTGATGAGCAAAGCAGCAGTTATTGAGTTCCTGTAAAATCGATCATTATGCCTGTTTTCAGACGGGACAGACATTCCTGACGGTGATTTGCCATCATATGATTAAAATGATTGATTCTTGACAATGTTGTATAGAAATGTCAATTATCTCAATATTCTCAATTAATCATATGTCCATTATTGCCATATTGACAGGGATGGGCTAGGAAAATAAACCAGACTGTTTGAAAACTCCTAGATCAAACCGTATTGCACAGTTTGGTATAGATCGTAGACCATTAAGAATGATCTCGTCTAATCCAGGATCTATATTATAGGATGCGTGGATTTTTTTGGTTTGGTTTGATCTAGATCGTGATTTATCGAATCTAACTCACTTTCCAATTTGTGCTAGCAGCTCACTCAGCCACTCTCTCAAATTTTCAACAATACCCAAGTCTCATCCCTAATTTTTTGAATCTCGTATCCTTCTTCATTCATAAACAACACTCCACCATATAGTTTAGACAATTGCGTCCCTATATGACATTATATTAACGTTCTAAATGAAATAATAGTTGGAATAATGTAAGATATATTTGATGTTAGAATATAGACAATATAAAAAAAAAAGAAAAATTGAAATCAAATAAATTTGAATAGAAATAGCTAATATGACGTTAGTGGAAAACATTTTTTTCCTCGATTATTGATTCAATTTTCGTGTGGTTGACTAAACAAACTGTTCATTTTTCGCTCAATATGGTATGCATGGTCCAAGCAGTACTAGACAAGATCGTAAATCCATGATCTAATATGGACCATGCATATTGCTATTGTCCCTCGTCTATACTCCAGCTTCTTGGTTTTGACCATAGAAGAGTAAAACCGTCAATTTTTAAGTTTTAAAACGCGATTTTAGCTACTCTTGTAAATGAAAAGCACGATTCCATGTAGAAGCGTTTAAGTGACATAGAAGCGTAAAGCGTAAAAAGCGATTTTGACCAAACCGTAGGTATGATTCGGTCTGGATTGGACAACACCGTTTTCCCAGTCCTATTGGAGGGATAGGATGAGCAGATCATCAAATTAATCCAGATCCAACCCTAGATTGAGTCCTATCAAATAATTTAGGGTTCATACTCTATTTTGATCTGAAGTTCGGCGTAAGTGACATTTTTGGCCTGAACTTTTAAATAACATAGTTATGGGCTTATGGCCAACTTTTCAAATAAATTGACAGATTTGACCCTTTTTTTAATTGAACATTAAAATTGACGGTCAACTATTTTCTCCGTTAGTGACTCAACATTCTGTGTCGACTGCTACTAGGATAGTACACCTATAAAAACAAAAAGAAAAAAAATAAAGAATAGGGGAGGAGCCGATTATCAAATTAATCCAATGCCAACCATATATTTGAGTATACTTTATTAGTTTTTTTTATACAAAAGATAATCATATATTGATAAGAAAAATAGACAATTACACCCTGACATTCAATCAGGTCAGAAAATCAAAAAAGCGACTCGTAATCGTGTACAAATGAAGGGCCTTGCGAGCCATCATATGAGCTACCCTGTTACACTCCAACCTACAAAACGCACAATAAGCCCACTATGAATCGTCAAACAATGCACAACTTCCTCGTGTAGGGCTCCAATCCGGCTATCCCTCGTATTCGCCCTATTGATTTTATCAATAATCACCTACGCATGACGTTCCATACTCACCTCCGTAAGCCCGGACTCTAGGCACCAGAGAATCACCTCTCGGAGGATGAGCATCTCAACGATCAAAGGATCATCCACACCAAAAAAACTGGACTCCTTTAGCCAAGAGAATTTCCCCAACCTGATTCATGATAATCATCCCTCCTGCCGAGTGAGATCCATGCGGGTAGTCCCATCCCATTTGGAGGCAACTAAATGATGGTAAACAACCCCATTGACTGTGCCGGATGGTCAGGCACCCTCAGAGTCCTATCGACAGGCAAGATGATATAGGGTTGGATCTGGATTAAGTTTGGATATGGGCCTAGATGCCGCACCACCACCAGCCTATGCCCCGCAATCGGTTCGACCATAGCTCGCACGCTGGACAGGTCGTCGGCCTTGAGCCTGTATAATTAACGGACTGCTATCTTACTCATGCCAGGCCTCCTTTCTGAACCCACACCCAGCCCAATCTAGCCAAGCCCATTTCAAGCATTTGTTAATTCAAGGAAAGTCAGGAGTTACAAGAGAAGGGGTGGTGGGACAGATCACACTGGATCACAAACCCATCTGTAATCTAAGCAGAGCAGCTCATCATCTTCAACAGCAGCAAGCTGCAGCAGCATCCTATCGAAATTCAACAAACCCATCCCTTGAAAGCCAATCCATCTCTTCCCATTCACAACAAATAGCCAAATCCTAATCAAATTCAAAATCAAGACCTAACCCATCTTCCCTTCCCCTCCCGCTATCCCGAATTACTTACCAATCTCCGTTTTTCCTGCTTCCCCCCCCCTCCGCTGGTCTTCAATGGAGACTCTGACTTCTCTCTGTGCGAGCCAAACTCTTGTTTCCCACACAGCCCGCCCGATGCCCATTTCCGCCTCCGGAAGCTCCGTCTCCGCAAATGGCTACGCTTACTCTCTCAATTCTCGAGCTTTCCTTCCAAGGAAGCAGAGGATGAGCATCATTAAGGCCTCTGTCGCCGTGGAGCAGCAGACAGAGAAGCCCAAGGTTGCCCTCGTCAGAATCGGCACCAGGGGAAGGTGCTTACTCTTCAATTCCTTTTCCTGTTAGTACACTCTTCGATTCTGATCTTGCCATCGTATAATGTGGGTTTGTTGCCCTTGTTATTGTTTCCCATTCCGAGAATTACGAAATGGGGTTTTGGAGGCTGTGAAGGTCTTAGGTTGGCTTGCTTGATTATGATATATACAGATTTCTTCTTGTGGAGAACCCTTGGAATTCCTGGATATAGGTTGTAGTTTAGGAATCAGTGTGCTGAATGTTTGAATTACTAGCTACCAATGCTACTACAATTTCTGCTCAATTTGATGTTATTGGTTTCAAGGAAAGCCCGCTGGCACTAGCTCAGGCTCATGAGACCAGGGAGAAACTCATGGCGGCACATTCCGAGCTAGCTGAGGAAGGTGCTATCGAGATTGTGATTATAAAGACCACAGGAGATAAGATCCTCAGTCAGCCGCTTGCCGACATTGGAGGGAAAGGGTTGTTTACCAAGGAAATTGATGAGGCACTGATCAACGGTGACATTGACATTGCGGTGCACTCCATGAAAGATGTTCCTACCTATTTACCTGAACAGACAATCCTGCCTTGTAACATGGAGCGAGAAGATGTTAGAGATGCATTCATCTCGTTGAATGCATCTTCACTGGCAGATCTCGCTGCTGGGAGCATAATTGGCACTGCTTCCCTCAGGAGAAAATCGCAGATACTCCACCGGTATCCCTCGCTTAAGGTAAGCATCTTCTAGAACATGTATTGGATTATTGTTGCAAATTTGTGTGGGAAGTTAGAGCTCCATAACAGTTTCCTCATTTAGGTCATTTAGTATCCTCTACTCTGCTTAGTGAGCCGTGTCTAGCTCTGAATACACTAGAAAGATATACTAATTACTAAGGCCACCTGGTTCCCTTGGGGAATTAGTAAATCTCCTTGGACCTTGTTTCCATGTGGTGACACCTTGCTCATGAATTAGAATGGTTACTGGATATCCTTCGTTGTGAAATGGTTCAGTTCAAATAGAGTGAGAACTTGTATGACTTCATTTTCTACTGGGTTATGCTTGAAATATCCTCACAGGTTTGTTGGTTAATATGTGCTATCTTTCTTCTGACTTCTGACATGCCTTTGATAATTTCCTGATTGCAGGTGGTCGAAAACTTCCGTGGAAATGTGCAGACGAGGTTGCGAAAACTGAATGAGGGAGTAGTGCACGCAACGTTGTTAGCATTAGCTGGCCTAAGACGTTTGAACATGACAGAGAACGTGACAGCCACTCTGTCAATCGACGACATGCTCCCAGCGGTTGCTCAAGGAGCAATTGGAATCGCCTGCAGAACCAATGATGATAAAATGGTAAGGCGGGAGACTAATGCAGAATTTCAAATGAACCCTACCGGGGGACACCAATTCGTTTGATTAACTTGATTGACAATGCCTGCAACCATTGGATTCACAGGCCGAGTACCTAGCTTCGCTGAACCATGAAGAGACCAGGCTGGCGGTTACCTGTGAGAGGGCCTTCCTGGAAACTCTGGATGGGTCTTGCCGCACTCCTATTGCAGGATATGCCAGCAGAGATGAGAATGGTGATTGCTTGTTCAAGGGACTGGTTGCTTCTCCAGACGGGACCCGTGGTGTGTGCATTTTTCATTCCATTCCATTCATATAGACTATGCTTGCTTCTCTCTCTTTTTCCCAATGAATCCCTGCTGTGTTCTGATGATAGAGCATGAATCGTTTTGGATGTTTACAGTGCTAGAGACTTCCAGGAAAGGTCGGTATGCTCTCGATGATATGATATTGATGGGTAAGGATGCTGGGAAGGAATTGCTTTCTAGGGCAGGTCCTGGATTCTTCAATTCATGAACCAATCGACAGCAAGTTGAGAAAAGAGAGCAGAAGCGAGAAGGCTAGTGTAGGTAAGTTGGAAACTCTTTTTTTGGATAGGATGCAGGGCTCTGAGTGCGATTTGTTTCATTTGCAACATGGAACATGAAATTGTTTGTTTGTAACGGTTTGCCGGTAGAAATGTAAGTTTTCTGTAAGCTCAAGATCTAGTCTTTATTTGGTTTGCATCCACCATCGCAAATAAATTTTATTAATACCGATACTGATTTCCATTAACTAATCATGAAATGAATTCTGCCCTAAATGCAGTAGATACACTAAAATAAGAAAACCGATCGCAACAACAATCCTAATCGAACCCCAACAAACAAATGTACGAATGTGTACTATATAGCATTTTTAGGTAGAACGCCAAGGGAAAGCTGGCATTTTCTTGTCTCCCAAGAAACGCTTGATCAGCACCAGCGCCTGCATCGGCTTGAAAGTAGGAACCTGGTGACCGGCTCCTCTTATCGTCACGAACGTCAGCCCGTCGTACTCAATCGTCCATCCTCCGACCTGCCGCCGGAAGTACCACGGAGCCCACTCTTTCGTAGTGTTCAGGCCAAGCTTGTTCAGCGTCAACCGTGTAGACGTCACCGGAATCCTCCCGTCGGTATCCCCACTGCACCACAAATTTACAATGATAAAAAATGAGGTGAGAACACCAGGCTTGAGTTCCGGTACAAAACCCCGACCTACAAAACCCTAGTCGTATTATCATGTCACGACGTAGTGATACAATGATACCACACGATGGTCGAAATTTTGTACCCTATCCGCACTGTCGAGAAATTTTTTGTACCTGTAGACCCAGACCCTGACGCCGCCGGCGACGAGCTTCTTGATCACCGGGAGAACGGAGTGTGGAGCATCGTGCCAAGACTGGATGGTGTCGCTGCAGTGGGTCCACGGGTAGGGGATCCTCCCGCTCACGTTAGCATGGAGGGCTTCCTGCACGTCTTTTCTGTTAAAGTACGCCTCGGTGACCGTCGAGATGCACGGGTCGTACCCCGCGGCCGGCTCCTTGTGCCACGTGGCGGGGAATTTGGACAAGGAACGAGGGCCGCGAGCGAGAGGACGTTTCGTGGCGGCGGCGGCGGCGAAGGTGGTGCCGTTGAAGCACCGGGGAGCGAACAGGCTGTACATGTCGATGAGGTTGTAGACGTTGAAGTAAAGCTCGAGCGCGTCGTCGCACGCCGACGTCGTTCCCTCGACGTCGAAGTTGCATGCATGCTTGATCTTGTCGTAGACTTGGTCGGAGATGACGGCGTGGTCCCACGCGTAGTCCACCATCCCCTTCTGGTCCGTCGCGTCGTCCATCAGAGCGTTCCCTATCTGATGAAAATAAATCCCACGCAGTCAAAATTACGTTTTAAATTTTTAAGATTACATTTTTTTAGGTCATTTTTATCTAAACCTTACGGTTTAGAAGGTTGCGATTTTGAACTTTTAGATCACGAAAACGCCTGTACAAAGCTTAGAGAGAGAGGGAGAGTGTTGCTTGCTTACGATGAAACCCTTGAAGTTGATGTGGTCGTCCTTGGAGGCGTTCTTGTTGCCGTCGAATACCGCCTCCGCCAGCTGCGGGACGTAGTGTCCGGCGTAGCTTTCGCCGGCGATGAAGAAGTCGTGAGAGCGGAACTGAGGGAATCTCTTGAACCAGTTGAGGAGGAATTTGTGGGCGTCGGTAGCAGCCATTGCGTCGCCGAGTTGAGTGAAGTCTTGCGAAGTGTTGGTGTAGGAAAATCCGACTCCAATTGGGGATTCAAGGAACAACATGTTGGCAGCTGTTTCAAATTAAACAAACTCTTCCGTGAGAATATGGAAAGAAAGGAGCAAAAGAAGAAGAGAAGAAGGTTTATTTAATTTATACCTTTGTTCCAAGAGTGACGGTTGAAGGTGAGCTCTGGTTTGCCTCTCTTGGGGAAGAAAGGTCCCAACTCTTCTGCTTCACCATAACCTATCGAAGAGCAACCTGGACCTGCAACAAGCCAACCGCAATTTCCAGCTTAAGTTTTAGGGATTAAAAAATTAATTAATTAAGGTTTATAGGTATAATATGCTCCTCTATTATGAGGTTTTAAGGATTACCAGCTATACGTAGTCAATTCAGTTAAGGTTCACGTACTTAGACTTTTCTGCAGGTTTCCAGAACGTCATGATCACATGGGGCATAACATATTCTTCAAGGAATCCGATTATTATTACTTAGTGACCACTCTAATTAGTTAAAACACACGTAACTAATTTTTAATTACTACCATGCACTATTAAATCTTACCATACACTGTAATACAGAATCCGATCGAGAAGCAATAATCAACGTTTGCTAGGCAATTTAAGTTAGGCGAGATCGTCAAAAGTAACTATTTAATGAATTTTAATTCATAATTTATATATATATTGAAAATTATTAATTTCATACCATAATTCGCTTGCTAATACTATGAGGTGGAACGCTAAAAAATTGACATGAAGGTCAATCGGTCATTAAGAATAATTATATGTCAAATCAAAATTACAGTAATTAATACAAATGTACACACCCACTTATTCGTCATATTTATGACCCGATGATTGTAATATTGTACATTACAAAAATTGAGAAAATATTTCCCTCTTTTTTTTTTTCCCCACTCGCAACTTAAACACGATATATTCAGCTCGGTACAAATCAAATTCCAAGGAAACGGTATGGCACGTCATAGTCACTCACAGATCAGCCATCACAACGTGCATTCATATATAATAATGCAGAGTCTATTAATATTTACTCATTTATTTTCTGTGGTACGAGAAATTTCCCCACAGAATATAATCCGCTGTGAAATAAACAACAAATATACGCAACAGTGAATTATATTTATTTACTGGAGTGAAATTCGTATAAATACGTTAAATAAATAAAAAAAAAATTGTACCTCCATTGAGCCAGAGGAGGAGGGGCTTGTCCTGAGGGTTTTCGGTGGCTTCAAAGAACCAATAGAACAGCGCTCTCCCGTGGCTTTCGTCCACCGTCACGTAGCCGGCGTACTGCTTGAAGCTCACTTCCGGCTGCCCCGGCAGCCTCTTCACCAGGTCTGCTTCCTGCTCTTCCACATCGCCGGCGGCAGAAACAGCCACCAAGAGAAAACCCAGAAGAAGAAGGGAAACAGTACTGGTACGGGAAGAAGACACCAAGCCCATTTTTTGTATGTGTCGAAATAACAATTTCTATACAGTAATCGGCCGGCCGGCGCTATGTATATATAATGGCGTGGCGGCCGATCGAATAAGAAAATATGGAACCGAATATGGGAAGCCAAAGTTATATAAGGAGAGGAGTAGGAGACAGACAGATAAGAGACTATGCTAGGCTGGAATAGGCTACTGGCTGGCTGGTTTTATTCCCTCATAACAACCAAATATTTATTCAATAACAGTTTCCGGATGTACGTACGTACCCCTAAAATAATAATTAATTCACTTTTGCTACCATATATCTCTTGATAATAAATAAAAAAATTTAAAAAGTTGTTACTTGTTAGTGTAGCCAATCCAACGATTCAGCTCGATACTTACCCTTAATTATTATTATTATCAGGATAATGATTCCAAATGATTCGTTTTTCATTATCATGAATATTCACGAAATTTCCATCTGTGAATAATCATGATTTGGTTCGTTCATATTTGGAGTTATCTTATTGGGAAATAGAAATGTATAGGCGTGAGGATCATGGTTGTCAAACCGAAGTTAATTCGTATGCATGATTTGACGCGCGGTTTGAGAATTAATGGTAGGATGGAGTTCAACCAGTTTAACCGAGTTTCAATAGAATATGAGAGAGAAGCCTCTTATACATACCAAATAAATTATGTATATATTTGACATATTTTTTAAAAACATTTTCACTTATCTACGTTCATGTATTACCAAATTATCAACTCTGCATCTTCAACCCTGATCAAACGAACTGGTTTTGATTTGTTCGGCCCGATTTTGATTGGTATAATTTGATTTTGACTTTTTTCATGAACTGTTCAATCAGAGCGTATTCCAACAGTTTGGATGATCAGTTACGATTGAACCAAGTTGGACCGGCAGCCGAATACTGGTTTGAAAACCCTATTTAGAATTGAAAATGAAGAAAATACAGAAGTTGGCATAATTTCTTATCATGAATATTCAATAACTTCCATCTGTGAATTATCAATCATTCAGATTTGGAGTTATCTTATTGTGAAACAAAAATGTATAGGTTTAGGATGGAAAAGGAAGAATCTAAATGTAAACATAGAAGTCGGATTATTATTTCTAGGGAAAGGAATCTCGTTGGGAAGATTTGTGCGGGCCGGGCCGGGCCGAGCGGGTGGGTCAACGTACGTATCTATCATTACTTCATTATCAGAGATGCGCTCGTGGGGTTTGGCTGTAATTATATTGTTTGGGATTATTTGCTTCCGGTGGAGATAAAGGGGGAACATTTGTGTCGAACGTAACAACGACCAACCCGCCGGCCGGCAGGGATGGTGGGATTCTCCGAATCTCCCGTTTACTGCTACTACTACTTCTTAATTTGCCTCCGCCGGAAATGGAACGATCAGTCTAGTTGCATTGGACACTTGGTGAGAGTCAATTGCTTCGAAACCAAACCTTTGACCCAATAGAAAATGAACTCTTTATTCCTCTCAAGATCCAATAAGTTTGTTTCAAGTCTAAGGAAGCTGCTGCTATAGGCAAAGGTAAGCTCTCGCCGGATAACCTTTTCAATGTTCTCTTGTTGTCTGCCCTTCTTTCTGGCCAAAAAACAAGTTGGAGGATCAAATGGGAGGTTCATTTTAAGCATAATTACTAAAAAATATGTTACTCCGACTTTAGTCTTTAGATGTTCGAAGATGAAGAGGCTAATTAATGGTGATGAGTTACAGAACAGATGAATGCTGATTCTGGAAGCAATGAGGCAGATACCGAAGGAGGCAACCCGTCAACAGAAATTGGTACAACATTGTCAAAACAATAGAACGAACCGTATGAGAAATTACAGTGAAAACGCAGACGATAAGCTAGGATTGGGGAAAATTGCAGACGGATTATAACGATGGTGAGAAATGAACTAATGAATCAAGAGGCAGCACGTGGCAAGTCGATGTTGTCGAGGAAGTGAGAGACGAGGAGGAGAGCGCGGTCTGGTGCTAGTACAGGGACGGCGTGACCAGCTCCTCTCACCGTCGCCATTGTCAGCCCTCCTGCATAACTTATTGTCCATCCTCCGACCTGCATTAAGTTTCACTCGTATCATTCAGAAATCTGGTCACACTCAACTTCGGTTAATCAGCAACATTGCCACTGATTACAATTAGATAACATTACCTCTTCTTGGTTGTACCAAGGAGTCCAATCCTGGGTTATGTTCACCCCAAGCTTGGTCAGTGCATACCTCGTCGAGGTCACTGGTATCCTACCATCTGCATCTCCACTATATAATACCAAAACCAGTAAACAAAATGAAATATGGATTAGTTCTTGCATATGTTACTTTGATTAGTAAGAGCAGCCATTCTAAGATGATGCTATTAAGTTACCTATAGAGCCAAATTCGAAGGCCTCCATCAAGCAGCTTCCTAATCACCGGGAGCACCGAGAACGCACTTTCGTTCCAGTCATTGCCCACCTGATTACTGCAGTAACATATAGACATAGTTGTTCACATCCTTAACTCTGGTTTTACCACCCTAACCATATCTAAATCCAGAGATGAAGAATAGACTGACCTGCAAAGGTCCCACGGGCGAGGGACTTTGTTGAGATCAGCATGCAATGCTTCCTGGACATCCTGTCGGTTGAAATACTCAAACACGTAGTCGCTGGTGCATGCATCATACCCACCAGCACCAGCTGCAGGTACCCTAAACTTGGACGTCATTGTCATGTTGCTTGGTAGTCGGCCGAAGAAACTATGGCTGGAATTGGTAGGCAGATGGCACGTTGGGGAGTTGATGCCGTACATGTCTATCATTGAATACAGTCGGTAGTAATTCGCCATTCCATTTTGACATTGCTCGGTCTGGTTTGAGTCGCTCCTCGTAAAATCACAGCTCGACAAGATGGACTGGTAATCCTTGTCCGAGAGCATCGCATGACTCCATGCATAGTCGATCATTCCTTTCCTGTCTGTTTCATCGTCCAATGATGGGTTTCCTAACTGCCCCATAAAACAACATAACAAGAATTAAGTAAATGGTGGTAATCATTTCAGTGATTAAATACTAAATAGTGAGTGTCTGATTAATATACCATGAAACCTTTGAGGTTGATGTAATTAGAGGAGTCATTGAGGGAGTAGTAGATCTTGTTCTGATCAAAGATTACTTCAGCCAGTTGCGGTGCATAGTGCCCTGCATAGCTTTCCCCTGCTATGAACAGTTCACTATTCCTGTACTGCGGGAATCTCTTCAACCACTTGTTCAAGAAGTTGTAGGAATCCCACGCTACATTAAGGTCGACAAAACAGTTCAGGGATGATTAGTTACTTTGATTAAAATATATGTAACAAGCAGTTTCAGATAACTAGTTTCCAAAACACAAAGCATATAACTACCTGTGACGCTGTCTCCTGGAGCATAAGTGTTGTTTGAATACGAAAATCCAACCCCAGCAGGAGCTTCCAAGAACAGTAGGTTGGAAGCTAAGGAAGATCAAAGCAAGCAAAAAAAGTAATTAGTTAAGGATTCTGAAAATAATTATACAGAGAGAAATGAGAACAGAAAACAATGGGGACAAGAATTGCCTTTGTTCCAAGCATAGTGGTTAAGTTCTATTTGATGTCCTTTCTTCACCAGAAAGGGTCCAATCTCTTGTGCTGCCCCATACCCAACAGAAGAACATCCTGGCCCTGCAAAAGATTATACATTCACCGTTACTTATTCAGTAATCATAACTCCATTTTCACTTTTCAACATGATGGAAACAACAGAATGGTCAAGATTTTGATGAGTACGTGCTAGAATGGGTACCTCCATTGAGCCAGACGAGCAAAGGCTTATCTTCTGACTTGTGAGCTGCCTCAAAGAACCAATAGAACAGCGCCCTCTCTTGACTCTGGTCAACTGTAATATGCCCAGCATACTGCAGGAAGTTCACAGAAGGCTGCTCTGGGATGTAGAAGACCCGGTCAGCTGATTGAGCTGCAATGATCTCGGGATCCACAGCTCCCCATGATGGTGAAACACCCACCAAGCACAGAAACATGCATAGTGACAATGCATCTAAACCTGAAACCCCCATTGGTTTGAAGTTTATCTGCACCAGTCACTGCTTAGCTTCTCTGATGGGGTTCTGTTGATTGGTGATGCAAAACCTGGACCGCCACATTCTGTATATATAACGAAATTATCATAAATCATAGTACGATGAATAAGGCCAAAAAGTGGGACTCTTTCCCAGCTTCATATATTCTTCTATAGAGAATTTTTCTAGTACAGTATATATATTCCAAAATAAAAATACCAGGTTTGGCATGTATTTGACACCAAAAGGGGACATTTAGTGCCTAAGGAGGATCCCTATCGTTATCTGCATGCAAGCTTAAGAAGCTGTAAGTAATAAGAAACTAAATTCACCATTTGTACCTTTCTTTCCTTTCTTTCCTGGTCTCTAAAGTCAAGCACTGGAACCTAAAGGGAACAAACTAAAGTAACAAACCAATTAAATATAACTCACGTAAGAAGCGACTCAGGGTATAAGGTTGAGAAGCTGGCAGGACTTCAGACCTGCGTATAACATACAAAAGTGTCACCAATAGCAAGCCAAGCACTGCATCTTGCTTCATAGTTCACGATGGCCTCCAATAGCAAGACAATACTGCATGTACACCAAACTCCCAAAGACTGATCTTTCATTGATAATTACGAAACGACCTAAAAATGTAACAAGATGAAAATATAAATGTAAAGGTTGCGGCAGAAACCGGGGACTTCAAAGGGGATATGCTTAGTTAAGCATTAGCATCAACAAGAAAGCCATGGGTGTTTTCTGCCATTTCTTCACTGTTACAAAAGGAAACGCCATAATTCTTTAGCATCCCGTGTTATGTTGTTCTACATGACTCAAGTCTAAAACTGCTCTCAACTTTGCGAGATGAATGCAAAACTGATCACCCCAGACTATATTTTCTTGTATGGATCCCTCAATAGAAATTAAAGCT